CCAAATATAGTGTACTTGGAATACTATTATTATACACTTTTCTAATTCTTGAAGATTCCTAAGGTACTAGAAAAATTATGTAGCTCAATAATATAATGTAATACTAATGTCTAACAACAAATACAATGATAATCATGCTTCGCTAGCTTGTAAAAGGCGTCCTCACCATAAGAATAATTTCCTGCTTGGTCAACGTCTATTTTTGATGGTTGCTTGTAGACTGTTGATATGTATTAAAATTTTGAGACGTTCAATTTGTTTTCTTCAGTGTGTTCTGATAATTATGTTGTCGTTTTTTTTTCTAATTTATATATGGAAGTTGATGTTTGAAGTTACGCACAAAGCTACACAATGGGCTATCTGTGCTCTGCCCACAACGGGTATCGAAACCCGGTTTCTAGCGTTGTAAGTCCGCAGCAATACCGCTGTGCCACTGGGGGGCATATATGGAAGTACCTAATGTAAGCCATTGTTTCTTTTTACATCCCTTTTTCCAGTTAAATTGGGTTAATTCTACTTGATAAGTTTCTCCCAGAAGACAATTTTATATATTTTAAAATGGTTTTATTTAATAAAATTTCTCTAAGCAAAATAATAATTTCTACAATGTTTATAACATTTCTTCCACCAGTTTGAAATATGTTGACGTTGGTTACTTGCAGCGTTTTACGTTTCAGTAATTTCGAATTCATTAATTCAAATCTAACTTCACTACTACCATCCCAGTTTGCCCCTGAAGAAGAAAGATCCACCTTTCGAAAGCGCTCGGGTTATAGGGTTTTTATTCATTTCTATCAAGACTTCTTGAACCTACGTGTTTTTCTACCATCATGAATCTAAAATAAACGATATTATTGTCTGATATGAGGTATTAAAATACTGATGTGGAATGGTATTAAGATACACTTATGATAAGAAATTACCAAAGTTTCCTGAAACATAGCGGTCTTAAACACGGGCAAGAAAATGCGACTGTTTGGAGCTTTTCACGTTTAGGGTACCTCGTATTGGCGAGTTAAAATCGGAAGTAAAATTAAAATACATTCAAGATTTTTACCTCTAGTTTTTCAAAACTTGAATCTCACAACAGTACATGTCCTCCTGAAAAACCTATCTAATGCAAACTGTTAAATAATTTGATTTCTCTGCTTGCTATACAAACCTATGTAGAGTAATCTGTTAAATAATTTGATTTATCTGCTTGCTATACAAACCTACGTAGAGTAACCTGTTAAATAATTTAGTTTCTCTGCTTGCTATACAAACCTATGTAGAGTAATCTGTTAAATAATTTGATTTATCTGCTTGCTATACAAACCCATGTAGAGTAACCTGTTAAATAATTTAATTTCTCTGCTCACTATACGAAGAAGACTGGCACTGTTCTAAAGACCCTGAGGTATAAAGTTTACGAAGAAACTTTATGGAGTAATATAAACATTACATTTTAATTTGGTATGAATTCTAGACTCTACTAAGCAATTAGAATTTTAAAAAGTAATAGACAATTACTTCCATCAAGTAAAGTTTGTGTACGTTGTACATATCTACGTGCACACCGAGCTTTCGCCAATGTACCACAGCATTCTCGGAGCAACTAACTGATAACACATGCCGTTGAAGAGCATGTTGGTAAACTAATAAATTCTACAAAATGAGTGTAAAAGATGGTATTTAAATATGGTTTTATGTGCCATAAGTACAGTGAATTTAGATTTATTTGAAGATATAGAAGTTAATAATAAAGCTAAATTCTAAAATGGAAACCATTTTTTTTAAAAAACGTCACTAATTCTGCATGCAAAGTTTTAAATTGTTTTAAACACCATGACAGCTTCAAAATATGGTCTGGTAAAATTCCATTAAGAGCTTTTAAATTACTTATTAATTTTCAGTATAAAATATAGTCACTACAATAAAAAAAAAGGTGCATAACAATGATGTAATTGTTTTGAACAGTTAATGCAGATTCTTAAGGACTTTATTGACAATATGAAGTACAACGCAGTGTCAGAACATTGGAAGGATACAAAATTCCTATCACTCATTCAATATCATGATAATGCATCACACTATCTTTATAAAATCACATGTAGTTGATTAGAAAGTGTACCATAAAATAGTATGGTAACACTAGCACCCAAATTCCCAAGATTATTACCTTGCATATAAACTATACTTCAACATTATGTAATGGCACTGAGGTATGAAAAAAATATTTGAAGTACCCATATAGCCCAGTATTGGGTACTTGTTTGTCTTTTAATTGATACTATAAATACAAGCATCTTATTCATTATTAAGAACTGAAGCAACTTAATATTTGGTTACTAAAGGAGGTATAAACTAATCAAAGTACTGAATTGTGATGATAAATCACTGAACAATAAATCAACACAGATATAAGTACTTCCAGTACAATAAGTAGATTTAAATCAGTGCCTTAAGTAGTTAACCTGGCCCAAATATTGGTATAAAACTTGTTAGAATCAAAGGATGCTTAAAATGTAAAAGCATAATATACATTTTTGTGGATTTAACAATGCTTGAAATGTATAAACTCACCTAACTGTTTATTTAAATAATAAAGTTAAATAATGTGTGGCTCTTAAGTGGATCCAACTGAAATACAGACTCAAATACTGGGATTTCGTGAAACTAAAAAACTATGAACGTAGAGCCATGCACATCTTTTTTATTTAAAAAACAGAATCAAGCACTTTTTTTTTAGTAGGTCTAACAAACCCATGAATATAGAACTATACACAGTTCAGAAACAAGCAGTGTTCTTTAAAGCACTTCTTCTGTGGATTTAACAAAACTGTGTGAATGTAGGACCAAGCACTGTAGTGTTATGATTCTTAAGATTACCAAGAAAGTAGAACCATGAACAGTTAGATTTTTTTGGATCTAACCATATTAAGAATGGAGATACATGCTCAGTTCTTTATTGGATCTAACAATACTAAAAATGTAGAACTGTGAACAGTTCTTTTGTAGATCTAAAACAAATATTATGAATGGAAATTGATGAACCATTCTTATGTAGATCTAACAATATTAAGAATGCAGATCCATGCACAGTTCTTTTGTATAACTAACAATACTAAGAATGTAGACCCATGAATAGTTTTATTATGGATATAACAATGTTGGGAATGTGGAATCATGCACAGTTCTTTTGTAGATCTAACAATATTAAAAATTCAGAACCAAGCATAGATTTTGGGTGGATTAACAACTCTTAGGATTTAATTATAAAAAAGCACAGTTTTTTGTAGATGAAATACTACTAGGAATGCAGAACCAGGGACAATCCTTTTGTAGATTTAACAATACTAAGAACACACGATCCTGGACACTCTTTTTGTAGCTCTAACTAACTAATAATGTAAAATTACCAACAATCATTCTGTAGATTTAACATCTATTAGAATTTATAACCATGCACAGTTCTTTTGTGGAGGTTTCGACTGTTCGGCCAAAGAAATGATTTGTTGCATACATCACAATAATATTTCTTTCTCTGTGGTCGATGAATGTTCATGTGGTTGAGCAGACTACTTTTTTGGGCGTAGTCTAACCCACAAATCGGGCATACTAAATCTCGTCTGAAAATGGTCTGTTCTGAGCGACGAGGGCGACCAAGTCTGCCGGATCTAAGACCTAAAATAAAATAAAATATTTTTTTACAATATTCTACCACAAACAACGGACATTTTTTGTAATTCGGGTGTTTGTTTCAATAAAGTAAAATTTGTTTTTGTTATAGGATGCCAAGTAATAGATCTTGATGATTTACATCATTCTGAAACGTAAAGTGTAGGAATATATTTGAATACTTATAAGACACAACCAAATGTAACTTGTATATTACTGGAGGAGATAAAGCAAAAGCTTTTTAAAGCTAAAAAACATAAAATAATACTAATAAAATTAGAGTACATAAACATGATTAAAATACTTTTAAGGCATTTGTTTTTGTTGATGCTTTATTTAAACATTCTAAAGGTACGATACGAAATCAAGTGCTAAATATTAATAAAAACAAGTTATCAGTCGCGACCATGTAAAGATCAAAAGGTACGACTCTCAACCATGTACAGAGAGTTGAAAGAAAAAGCCATCCAGGGTCAGTTACTGATACATGAAAGTTCAACTGGAAACTTCCATAAACGTTAATTACATTATACAGAAACAATGAAACACTTATCACAGGGAGTTAATTATTCGCCAAAGAAATCACAGCTCATTTGACTTTCTCCATGATTATTGAGTTTGTATAAAACATGTACATTTAACTATTACTATGAAATATCATATTTGGCTTAGTTTACCAAACTGCGTGTAATTCGTTTAAAAACCTGCATGGACTCAAGACACGAAAATGGTAAGCCTTAAATTTTATTTGATTGAAAACGTAAAAATGTTGGAGAAAATTTAACTCTATATGTTCTTGAAAATTAAATAGTGCACAATATAACAAGTAAAGCAGGCAACAATTCGTTATCTACATGAATTGAGTTGTTTTATCATAATTCTAACCTTTTCCAAACCTTAGATAAATAATCCTTGAAAAGTTGTACAGGAACAGGAAAGGTAGCGGATTCTTAGATTCTGTTCCACAAACAAAGAAAAGACTCTTTTGTTTATTCAACCACGTTTTTTATCGGTGGCACATAGTAAAATGTGTTTATTTTGCTCACGTTTCACCATGTTTACCTGGTATCATCAGGTTAGATGCAATAACATATGAGTGAATCAAAATATCAGTTTTTTTTTATTAAACAGTTAGGTTAAAACTTCTTACTATATCTCACCCGATGATGCCAGATAAACCTGGTGAAAAGTTATAAACAAAATAAACAAATTTTACTATGTACAACCGATAAAAAAATTGTGTGAATTTAAAAAACAACAAAAAACATAGTTCTTTCTAATATTTAATTCATGTTTTATTTACTGTTTCAGATATTTGCGCAAAGCTAAACAGGAGCTATCTGCGCTAGCCGTTTCTAATTTTGATATGATAGGCTAAAGGGTATGGAGATAGTCTTCAATATCTATTGGCAACCCCAATCGAATAATGGGATTTGACTGTCTCTTATATAACGCAACCAAGGCTCTAAAGTGTGGAGTGTGATTTTTGTTGCTAGGGGACGAGAGACATAAATCCTACAGTCTACAGATCTACAGTCAAACAGTGAAAAGAGGAATACATTGGGTCAGTTTCAGAGTGTCTCTGCTTGGCTTACAAACCGGTTGTATACAAAAGACGTAAGTGGCGTACTAAAACTTTAATTTCTACGTTTACTTTTCTTACTTTCATTTCTTGTGAGGTTTTCTTTGCACATGCTCACACACGTTAAACGAGAGTATACTTCAGACGTTAGGTATACTACCATATACACGTTTGTGATTATCTTATGTACGCCACATCATTTAGCAATTTTGTTCTTTCTTTTTGCAAACAATATTTAATTCACCGTTATTATTCATATTTACTAATGTTCAAATCATAGAACTAAACCTATTGAAAATTGACGACGAAAACTAAACACTTGCTGACTAAACTGAACTTTGTATCAGGGCATACAATTGGTGAGCATTGTTAGCGTTTTGTGTCAACCGGTTTGTTAATAATCTATGAACAAATACACTGTTGGTAAAAGTGTAGGTTTTAATAAAACCCAAATAACAAACTTCCTGCCGAATATGTTATGATTCACAAAGAAATGAAATAGAATTGATTCCAATACATTCTTTGATTAAAGTATAATACATCCTTGCCCTCATGATGGCAAACAAAACAACTTAATGAACAAAAAATAATAACCATCATCAAAACACTCGATGAACGTTCCTTTTGTGAGCATTTCTACTATTGGACCATAAGAAGGTTTTGAAACAGATGTCACAGTAAAATTTCTTCCTCTGAGGTCTATGAATTCCCATGTGTTGGATCAAGTTAGACTTGCTTGAATATCTCTTCTTACATATAGGACACACCAGTCCAGAGCCGATTACACTGTTGTTTTGTGGCGATGCTGTCTGATGCACGAAATAACCTAAAAATAAACATGTATGACATAAAAGTTATAAACAACTCATCACTCTCCAGTCACAGCTACTTGTTAACTATCGTTCAAAATAACAAAAAATGGTTAAATGAAAAGGTAGGTAGGTACATTGACTATCAAACGATTTTAAAAAAGTTTAAATGATGTTTAATTTCATACAACTTAACGAACACAGATTTTGTAACCTACAAGGAAAAGAAAAAATAAGCTGGCTGAAACGATTACCACTGATAACACGTGAGTAAAGAAACATTTAACCAACTCCGAAGTTGCACAATTCTAATTATTTGATATTAATAATACATTGCTAAGATGTATGGTAATGTTGTTGGAAAGAATAAGAAGTTTGACATGAAAAACCTGAACTGTAATATGATAAATAGCTTATTGTAAGCTAACTGCGCATTCAAGTAATTAATCTAAAGCTACATAGAATAAGAAGTTTGACATGAAAAACCTGAACTGTAATATGATAAATAGCTTAACGTAAGCTAACTGTGCATTGAAGTAATTAACCTAAAGCTACATAGAATAAGTTTGACATGAAAAACCTGAACTGTAATATGATAAATAGCTTATTGTAAGCTAACTCTGCATTCAAGTAAATAATCTAAAGCTACATAGAATAAGAAGTTTTATCTAAATGTTTGATAACAAATTATAATTTGATTCACAAGTAAGCACTTGGCTAAAACCTAATGTGCACCAATGACAAGTCAATTTTGTAACTTTCACAAGTAAGCACTTGGCTAAAACCTATGTGCACCAATGACAATCAATTTTGTAACTTGTTACACATTTTTAGAATATACAAATAACTGAAAAAATATTTTAATCTTAGCTTTTTTTTTTATTCATTATAGGGTATATTTGAGTGAGGACTGCCCTAGGAAACAGAGACATGCCCAATTACAATCTCCTAGTCTCTTTTAAGTCAAAAACAGGCATAAAATTATCCTTTCTCATCAGTATGTTTACTGTACTAAAGAAAGATAACGCCAACAACTATTTTATCAGAAAATAAGTTCCTAAATGAAATAGCGTTCCATGGCTGATCTTCGTACATAATTTGTTGTATTGAAGATTTGAGGAACAATCAACAAAACACCAAGATAGAGAAACAACAAAGTTTTCATTCATTGGTTTTTATTAATGTTTAAAAGATCTGATTGATGTATCTAATCATGACAAAGCAAAGCTGTACAGACATGAAGAAGTACTTACTGTTTGTATAATAATTCCTACATTAACACATGAAACGAAATAGCTAAACAGGCGAGTTGAAACTGCAATCAAAACAATTCCTTTTTTGTTTAAATTACACTATTTTGGTTATATAATGGAAGGTACTATCACAGATATATATAATAATAATAATACACGCTGCATTAAAACCCTTCTTGTAATAAACAACATCATACACAAAATATATCCCACAATACTTCACAATTTAAAACAAAACATTTACAAATTTAGTGTTTATCTAATGCACTCACATTCAACGTGTCGAGAAAACTTCCTGTTAAAACACGCATAACGTGATCTCTTACGAGCTACATAATCGGTATTACAAAATTATATTTCTAAAGTTTACTGCTTAAAGAAAAAGAAGAAAAAACTATATGACAAAAATTAGTTTCTGCAAATTATGAAAAAGAACAAAAAGCATATAAGAAGACACCTTCTGGGGGGGGGGGCACATCATAACTTATAAAAACAATTACACTTTCTAGATTGTGACATTTCTCCAATAAATGCAAAATTGTGACATTATTATAGCCTGAAACACATTAATACAATCACCAGAATATCTAAGACACATTTATCAATTCCAAATTAGAATCTATTGAGAATAAATATAGTTTTGCACTTCAATTTACATAAAATATTGTAAAGTTTATCGTTTTAAAACACGTCATACAAGACTGCGCAAGTTTTGTACTATTTCCACAAAAAGATTAGTTGTGATACAAGTAGTTCATATCTAACTCCACAGAAAGGCATATTAAAAATTATTGATATAATACTTTTATATTAGTCTACAAGTAAAAACGACTTAGAACTCCAGAAAAAATGTTTATTTTACCAACGTACTGGTTTGTACTAGTCGTATAGTGGTAAAACGTTTAACCCATAAGTCGTGGGTAAACAAACTCAGTTTGTTATTAAGCCTAAAGCTACCTAATGGGCTATCTATTCCCACCACGAGTATCGAAACCTGATTTTTGGCGGTGTGGGCCCTCAAACTTACCGCTGAGCTATTGAGGGACACAAGATGAAATACAGGTAAAGTTTTTCTGGAGCTTAAGTCATTTTTAGTTGTAGAATTATTTCCTTACTCCAGACATATAACTTGATGTTACTTTTGTTTGTTATAAGAATAACATAGTATAAAAATACAAGAGTATCGTTGGTAAGTTAGTTGACTTTAAGACAAACTGGAAGGAGTGTCAGTTGTTGAGTAATGAAACACCTAGGTTATACACACAGCTGTAGCTTCTAGAGATGATGCAATTAACGTTTGTAATTCTGCCTGGTTTACTGGTTGCGAAACATATTTCGGTCTTATGCATCAGTGATGGGTCTCTCTTTCGTATTTTTTTGTACTTTACATTAGTGTATGAAATATTGTACTAAATTTACTATGTTTAATTTCGATGTCGCATTTTAAGGCACTGCTAAGTGTATAACGACTAGTTGATAAAGCAAAACAGAAAAAATCGAAGTATAAATATATGTTTCACAACTGCTAAATGTAATAAAGTTATCTTTGCCTCGTGAAATGCAAGAAACGTCAAAGTTTATCTTCACGTACAATAATAAACGTGTATGTGGTAAGAATCGCATAATGGAGACTTCAAGTAACACGGAAAGTGGAAAAAATCAACATCTACATAACACACACACACAAATATTATTTTTAAAATGGCTTTAGGCCTACATGGAAGTGAGTTTTTGCACAAAGCTACACAATAGGCTAACTGCGCTGTCTGCCGCACGGATCGAATCCTCGTTTTTAGCGTTATAAACCCTAAAGATTACCGCTGAGCCAACGATGGACTACTACACGGAAGTAAAACTTGTCAATTTTTTAAAATTTAACTATAATTTAATAATGTTCAATTGATTTAAAAATTAGCAGCCATGGACGAAAACTATTATATAGATATATTCAGGTAATTACACAGAATTGGCGGAGAGAAAAGAGTTTTTATATATTTATTAATTACAAACATTTAAATACATATTTTTCTAGTAAAATTCAAAGCATCCACGAATAAGGAAGGATTCGTTTATTTCGAGACTATGTTTCGTGAATGGGAAGAAAGCAAAGATTCGTAATAACTATATTATTATAATATACCAATACTTGTATGTTTAAACTCCATTTATGATGTGTACTCTTCGTACAGGAAACATTCACAGTGAAATAATATGCTCGAATTTTCATCAAGTTTCATAATGCAGTTTTCGTCTTTTACCATATCCACAACAGTAGCATCATTCCAATATTTTGCCAGATAAATCGTCATGCTTTACATAAAATTCTGTAGAAGTACTAAATGTTCAGTAAAAAAACATACAGTGATGACCAGTCAACATATTTTAAAACATGCGTTAAATTTCAATTATTTAACTTGAGATACTTTGGGCTATGTGGTTAGGGAACCCAACTCACAATCTGCGGATCGCTCGTTTGGATCCCCGTCCCACCAAACATGCTCGCCTTTTCAGCTGTGGAGGCGTTTTAATGTTACGATCAATCCCACTGTTTGTTGGTAAAAGAGGAGCCCAAGATTTGGCGGTGTATGGTGATGAGTACCTGCCTTCCCACTAGTCTTTCACTCGTAAATTAGGGACGGCTAGCGCAGATAGCCCTCGTGAAGCTTTGCACGAAATTCAAAACAAACCAAACCTGGATATACTTTTTAAATGTAGCTTGTTATATTTGTATGTATTCACTGTTCCTAGAGAACTACGAGGCTTTATTTCAAAGCGTAGGAAATTATATTCTATATCCTGACTTTACGGCCAAGTCATTGATTCCAGGGTCAAGATACAACTGTCACCTAGTTTTTAAAAAGAATATTCTGTATTCTGACTATTCGGCCAAGTCGTAGATCCCAAGGTTAAGGTTAACTGTCACCTAGTTTTTAAAAGAATATTCTGTATTCTGACTATTCGGCCAAGTCGTAGATCCCAAGGTTAAGGTTAACTGTCACCTAGTTTTTAAAAAGAATATTCTATATTCTGACTATTCGGTCAAGTCGTAGATCCCAAGGTTAAGATACAACTGTCACCTAGTTTT